TCGCAAATTAAAATTCATGTTAAAATCTATAAAAATAGTGAGAACAAAACATTACAATAACATAATATCTAAAGCAAACGAATAAATACAATGAAAACGCAATAAATTCAATGATATTGAATATGAAACAATGAAAGTCTGTCTGTAGATTAATATATATAAATTAGAACTTATAATTAAAGTTATCTTATAATTATAATGTTATAGTGTCCATTGATAAAAAAACTTCCATATCTGTATTAATACAAAATTACTTCTACCAAGAATATTTAGTTCGAACTTGGCAAAAGAATATAAAATTTGGAAGCAATATTGTGAAGAAATGTCTTTGTCGTCTGACTGCGATACACAGAATGAAGGAAAAAGTGATGGATTGAGAATATCCTTAAGAAAGGGAAACAAAAGGACAAAGGAGAAATGACTAAGAGAGGGAAAAAGATTGTATAATAGGAAGATAGGATTCGTGTAACGATTCAGATTCACTTTGCTTATTTAGACCTAGCTTTGCTTTTTAATATGAACCATTTCAGATACTAACCTTTTTTTATAAGAAAGTTTCTTATCAAGGATTTTTACATTGTTCCAAAATTGGCGGTTACAATCAATACGATGGTTCGTGATAACAGTTGGAGAACCCGTATTTGTCATGTTCTTGTAATTTAATTCTTAATTTTCTCTTTGTTTGATCCACATAACTAGCCTCGCAAAATATTTTGTAAACCACTTCTTGATGTGATAAAACATCTAATTGGTCTTTATGTTCTTATTTAATGTATTAGGAATTGAATAAGTTAACTTCAAATTCATTTTAAAAGCGATAGGCCTAAAACTTTCAGAAACATAAAGTATGAAGAAATATTTGTCTGCCGATATCTTATTTTTAGAAAAATAAGAAATATGAGAGTTTTTGTATTTATGAAAGTAAAAAAGGAGTCTGTTGTGAATTATGGCGAATATGAAATGGAGAGAATAAGATTCTCTAAAAAAGTGTGAACAACATCTATAAGATTATGCTCATGAAATTTTGGGTGAGACAATAATAAGATTTTATCTATTGCATCTATAATAACGCTCCTTTTATGATAAAGAATGATGGGAATAAAAATTGAGAAATCTCTGAACATGTAGGTTTCTGAAATTTATCAAACATAATTCTATTCTCCTCAACAATTTGAGGAGAATATGATAGTCGTGTCTAAAAAATTCAACATTGAGGATGACCCAATCGAGCTCGAAACGACGTCTGTTATTTGTTATTTGCTTTATCATGATAATTATATTTGTTTCCTTTATTGACGCGTTTACATTATTGTTTTTTGGTTTATAACCTTTCTAAACTTTTATTTTTAATTTTTATTATTGAACCATATGATGTATTTTAATATTGCAAAAAATATTGTAATTTTAATTTTGTAGAAAATATTGCATTATATCATTATATTACAATCCAATAAGTAAATATGCAGCCCCGCTACGAAAGAGATATACATTTCGTAAGGAGAAAATATCCAGAAGTTTTTATAAGAAGTAAATGAGTACTCCCTCTTATAAATCGAGTAGATGAATCTCCTGGAGATTCTTAAATCATTTTGGATGTGCTTTCTAGGCCCCCGAAATATTTTTTGATCATAACTTTATTATATTTATTATTTATTATATTTATTATTTGGATAATGCTAAGCACAATAATATATTAACAATTAGTAAAAATGGAATAATTATTGAAATATTGCATTATTTTATAGCAACATGTATGCAATATTTCTCTAAATATACTCTACTGAATCGTAATACTGCAACAATAAATTGCAATATTTTCTATAAAATATTTTTCAATACTGCAATATATTCTATAAAATATAAAAATTTTATTGTAATATTACATATACAAGCAATACTGCTGCAATTTTTGTAATATTGCGCACTATTAAAATATTAAAATATTGCAATATTTCGTATAGTTGGAATAGTCATATTTAAATCCTTTATATCTCAAAGAGATTGTATTGTTTAAACTAACATTTTAATTTTTCTAAATCTTCGTTACTATCGTATTTTAAACGGCGAATATTGGAATACTGACTTGTAAATATATATATATTTCAATGATGTATTATTTGTCACGCGCATAATAAATAAATCAAGAAAAAAATATTGAATATTGAAGAAAAAAAATTGTAAATGAATATTAAATATAATTACTGTAGATACAAATACAACAAGATATAAGATACAATACAGTTTATTTGTATCCATTGCGAGTTATGTTTAATCCATATTCCTAATTTTTTAATATTTAGTAAATAATCAAAACATAGTATTTATATCTTAGAAGGATGGCACTACGATAAAATGCATTATAATATTCTATTGTAGTAATAATGCAATGTGATAAACTGCAATGTAACAATTGAACGATATTGCTGTAATATTACAATGCAATATACCATATTGTAACTACGAATGAAATTGCGGTAATGTTACAATGTTTAATCAAATGCTATTTAATCCGTCAAGTTGACCCATTATTTTACATTAATTCAGAAAACGTTCATAACTTGATGAAGAAAAATAATAAAATTTGTTTTAAAGGTGAAAATTCGCTTTTTAGAGTGGCATTTACGAAATTGAAGAATATTTTCGTTTGGCCACAAAAAATGATAAATACGGCAAAAAATGTTGTTTTTGGCTCATATTACTCAATTTATTTCATCTCTGATGTGATGAGCATCTTTTGCTTTCGGCGGATTTAGATTTAGCGACCTTACTCTAAGAACTGTCCAAGAAAAAAACCTTCCCACATAAAAACTCACATATCCTCCACCACTTGACTGATTTTCAAAAGCAAACCCATTTTAGAAATGTCTTTTAATTACAATTAAAACTATATTTAAAAAAATTCTTAATAATTACTTTTGACAAAAAATTTTTAATTTTTTCTGGAATCCCCTCCATCATATCCATTTTTATGGTGATCTCAGTCACTTCCTCGGATGCCCTCTTTTTTCGCTGTTTTTGAACTCTGAAAACCCTTTTTCCTTCCAGATCCTTCTTTACGGTTGATAGTTAAGTCTTCCTTGAAACACCTAATGACTATTGACATCGTTTTCTTCCAAACTCCCGTCTTCCGCGCGATTTTGATGAAACTCCATTCCGGGTGTTCTTGAAAAATTTTGATTATGGATTTGCGTGTTTCTATTTCACTTGCCATTTTGCAACTGAGAACAAAGCGATTACGAAACTGTTTCAATCGTTTCTTACATTCATTGCAAAGCCTACTAAATTAAAAAAATTTTTTTTTTTAAGTGGTTTGGAGGATATATGAGTTTTTATGTGGGAAGGTTTTTTTCTTGGACAATCCTTATTAAGAAATAGCCCTAATCACCGCAATTTTTTTGTTGGATTGTGTAATTAATCATTTTATGATTTGAATTTACCATTTAATTTTTAATTTACTGCCATATTTAGCTATCCTAGAGATCTTCAAGTAAAAGTCTGGCCATGGGACAAATATGGCGGAAATACTTCGCTTCATATTATAGAGAATATAGTATATGAATAGCGGCAACATTTGGCTCTGTATTGCAGGATATATAGAATCATAATCTGATCTAAGATTATTACCCGTAATTACTTGCTATTATCCATAGTAAAAAATCTCATCATCAGGCAAAACTTGTAAAAGAATTTATTAGTAACAAAAAAAATAATTGTGTGTCCGATTGTAATAATTCACAAGTGATAAAAGATTTTCTGTAAAAAGTTCCACCATATTTGTCTAATTCAAGATTGTCCTATCAGAATGCAATTGAGAGTGGCCAGATTCTTTCTTGAGAGTCTCTAAGTTATCCCAAAAAAGACCTTTAAAAATAATTCAACTAAATATATTGAATTAGAAAAAAAGTCCTTTTACAAGGTAAATAAACTTTTCCCCGTCAATATCTTCGTTAAAAGTGATCAAAATTTAAATTTAAGAAAAGGATTTTTGCTATATTTTTATTTATGTGAGTTTCATAATTTTTACATATAAAAATTTTCTTTATAGATCTGTAGCGTGCCCAAAAAAATTTGAGCAAATTTTCAACTATCTATCGTGAAAGTTTGAAATTTTCTCTACAAAATCGTTTTTTAAAAATGTTCCATGAAAAATGTTTCTTTTTGTTCCTGAGTTACTCAAAAGAAACATGCTGACTTTATTGCTCGTAACTCCATTAAAAATACGGATTCTTAAAATTGAAATATTGCTATCAAGATGTAATTGTCAATTTAAAAAAAATAGATTATATGGGTTACTAAAAAAGTTCTTTTACCAATTTGTAAAAAGGGACTTTTTCTCTAATCCAATATTTCTCTTCGCAAATTGGACATAAAAGGATTAATTTTATTTATCGAGTTTTGCTTAATTACTTCATTAAATATATAGTGATGTTATAAATGAAACAAAAATGATAACTGAAATATACGGCAATAGAAATTCCTGCTATGATGCTTATAATTGGTGCATATCATTACGATTTTTTGAAATTAGGAAATTCCTGGAATTCACTTCCTTCTTTCCATTTAGAAATACTAATGTCTGCTTTAAGCAGAAAAAACAATTTTGCAAATATTATATAAAATTTTTTAATATGATTGGTCTTGCAGTTAGTTCATTGATCTAAATGTATAAATCAATCATGTTCAAGTATTTTACAATAAAGTTGCAAAGCTGCTTTTTCTGCTGATTACCAATGAATATATCAATGTATTATGTTGTATGATTTCACTATAATATAATATAATAATAACTAACTTACCCCTCTTTTCGAAATTTAATTGTCCCACGTGTAATTTAATTCCCTCTGTTGTTAAATATGTGATATTAATATTCGAGATGTTAAACATGTATGTTTAACGAGCTTTGTTGTTTGTTTAGCTTCGTATAAAAATAATAAAATTCTATTTTCCTGTCTCGTCACTCTAATAAAACGTAGACAATTAACATGGACAATTAACTGCAGATTCGGCGTGGTGTGTGCCTTTGTGACAAACGAGTACATGCAGGAGGGAACCAAAGAGCTTCCGTGTAAAGCCAAGACAAGTCTGAAAGACGTCAAGCTCTACTTGACTACCACGAAGTTAGAGATTGACAATTTGCTCAAGACCAATCCCGAGGAACTTGAAGTTACGCTCAACAATATTCTGCAGGCCAGTGGAAAAATCGTTACCGAACAACTAGCGGAATATTCTCACGCCGTCTCCCTGACAAATCTGAATGACATCGTTGCTGGCTTAGAGTCGATCAGAGAAGATCTGAGATTGATGAATAAAATAACGCAAGAATTAAGGATAAATGCCAGTCAATTGGACATTGGTACGCAATCTGTTTTTCTAAATTCTCTAAGTTCATCGGAACTAAAAAAAATCACTTAATGTAATATTTTTTCTTCCTTGCAAAAAAAGAGAAAGAAAATTGTACATAGTAAACTGCAAAAAATTAAATTACTCTTTTCACGTGTCCGAAGCAAATTTATTTAAATTTAGAAGATCTAAAATATGTTTGATCTAATTATTCTTTCGATCTCTATATTCCTAGATAGCAAGTTGTCATTATTTTGATGTCGATAGTTGGTTATTTTAAATTATTGATGTTATATGATCTATTTAAGACATTATGTGATCTATGTAATAGATCTATATAATAATCTTTTATCATCATCTTTTTGACCAATTAATGATTTATTTATAACGTCTTTACAATGTCATACTTAATGATCAAATAAATGACCAATTGTCGTATTAGTAACATTATTAGTGATCAATTAATAATGTCATACATTTATTCCATAATAACATGAAAATAATGATGTATTTTTATGTTAGTTTATGACATTGTGTGAGTGATAAGAAATATAAGAATCCATTTTTATGATGTTTAGTCATCAAGAAGCTTATTATGTTCTTAAAATGAGATGGAAATTATAAAAATAATTGAACTAGAATATTTATAATTTCAATACCTAGCAAATTTGTTCATTTTTGTAATTTTTATTTCATCTCCGAACCGTATAAATTCGTATAAGAATAATTAATTAATGATGTCAAATGGACGAACGTTTTGTTACCGTTAATAACACGAAAAAAATGATATATTTTTGACATCGACTTCTGACATTATGTATCTATGACAAATCCATGATCTTTTTACTATGTTTGGACGTCATATTCGTCATAAGAATAATTAATTAATACATTAAATAAACGGCATCTTGCTACATAGATTGTGAACTTTTATAGATATTTATCTATTACTTTTCTAGAAAAAGCATAAAAAAAATTTTTAACTCTATCATAAAGTTTGCTTCATACGTTAAATATGAAATTTTATACGTTAAATACGAAAATTATACTATAATAGATCAATTTTTTATATTTCCTGTAACTTGTTCACTTAAAATACCGTTTTTTTTAATGATATGAGAAAATATCACAAGGGATTTTCGATTCGAAAAGGCATATATTGGGCATATATTGTCCGAAAAGTTCGTGCCGATTAAAATTTAAATTTTAGTATACATTTATTAAATTAAAATTTTCTGCGTTTCAATTTTTCTTCAACATCGGTACAAACTTTCCAGACGACCCAATATTATGATGGACAGAAATTTTTCTCAGTCATTTTTTTTAGACTTCAAGATCACCTCCATTTTTTTAAATGGAATTATATGATTTTTTTTATTATATGATTCTTCTATTTATTCTGCTTATAAAAGCATAATATTAAGGTAATGATATCAAAAAATCAATAGTTTACGAGATTTTTTTATTTATATTTTATTCTGATATATTGACATAAAATGTTAAAGGACTCATAAATTATTAATTTTTTTATAATTGTACTTTAATACTTTTGTGAACAGACGAGTTATTTAACATTTTATGTCAATATATCAAAATAAGGTAAAAAGATCTCATAAATTATTGGTTTTTTGTATCATTATCTTAATACTTTTATATTCAGATTAATTAGAGGAATATTGTGTAGAAAATCATACAATTCCACTTAAAAAAGAGCAGGTGATCTTGAAGTCTCAAAAAACATGACTTTGAGAAAATTTTTTTCATCATAATAAAATTTTTTTGCTCATCATAATATGTGTCTCTTTGAACCGAATAAGATCTCTTGTAATATTTTCTCGTATCATCAAAAATAATAGAAATATTTTAAATAATCAAGTTACAGAAAACACCTTGTATAAAAATTTTAATGAATATTTATAAATACAGTAGGAAAGCAAGGAGGATTCTAGATTATGTGTTAGTGCGTATATGTATATGCGGTGTGCGTGTGTGCGTGTAAGAGAGAGATCAGGAAGGAGGTAATGCATCGCTAACGCTAGGTTCGAGAGGCAAGAGAGAAGAAGCGCATTACCAGGATCCATGGGAGAGAGGAAAGGTTTTGTTCTTTCTCTTTCCCATCCGTTGCCATTTTCTTTCTAATTCATCCACTCTCTCTCCCATCCATTGTACTGCATTCATGCAGTTCGTTCTCCCACTCGTTGCGACCCTATACTTATCATCTTATTCGCATGCCGTTTCTTCTTTCTATTGTATTCTCTCCCACATTCTCTTCTCGCACGCGATTTTATAGATATGATATTTATTTTACGATTTTTTTAATGATATACCTTAGCAATAATTTTTTAATTTATCAACTAATTATAATATTTTTAAATATTATACTATGAATAATCAAGTGCATTTTTTTACTCAATACAAAGTATTGAGTAAAATATTGATATAACTGACTTACTCAATACAAAGTACGAAAAAGGAAAGGTGGAGAGAAAAGGGAAAAGATTTTAAAAAGAATTTTTTTTTAAATATGTATTATTTATCATATAACATGTACAATATAATCTAAACCAGAGTATTGTGTGGACGTGTATTCTTCCTCAGGTAAATAAAAGGATGTTCACTGATTTGCTTTAATTCTTTATACCGAAAAATCTTATCTTCTATAAATGTAGCGTACATAGAGGCGTTACGAACGTCTTTAACGCCCTATGCTGGAATTTACTTTTACACCCCTATCATAAGGATTGCTAAGTCTCTGAAGCACCCGCCAATGGCAATGAATTAACAACTAAAGGAATTTGCATAACACAGAAATACGAATATAAATTTCATATTTTCTTTTGTAATAATATATTTGATACTTAATGTAACATATTATATTATATCTTTTAGCTTTAATTTTTGAATATATTCTGATTACGTCTTCAATTGTTATATCAAGACTTGTAATCAAGATTATGTAATCATACAATTCCAAACTATTCTCCAATTTTTTTTCAATTTTTTTTTGATATCATAGCTAAATTACATGACCGCATCTACGTCATTGTATTTCTCAAATAATTCTTTTATTTTTAATTTTTAAAAAGATCTGTAGTTGTCACAGACATTGGCACAGTTAATAAGATTTGTAACGCTATTGCTAAATTTGAAAATATTTCCAGAAAATCACGTTTAGTTAATTTATTTAAAATATCCAGTAAGGTAGATTAACATCGCGAAACTTGCATTGCAAAATAAATCAACCTTATTAATAAAGCTAAGTAACATTAAGAGGCTCTGCTTTATTGAATTGACATTTTATTCATTTAACCTATTCTACGTGTCTCTCAAGATACAGTGCCAACCTGTCTATATGTATAATTTTATTTTTATGTTTGTTCTTGCGAATATAATACATAACATTACTAAGCTTCCTTATACAAAATAAAGATCTTCCCAGCTACTCTGCAATTTAGAAGCTTTTCTTCTCACCCTTTGAAGATTGTACAATTAAATTTTGATCTATTTCAAAAATGAAATGCCTAGCTTTTTGGTCATACTAGATCTTAATTTGAGAGAACTTAATATCAATACGTTTCTTGATTTGATCGTGAACTTCCAACTTTTTTTTTATTCTACTTAAATAATCGTTCGTTGAACTCTCTATTATGGGGATTCCCTCGAAGTAAGTGAAACGGGAAGCCAAGATCTTGAACGAAGTACAATTTCACTGGCGTTACACCAGTGGTCTCGTGTTTGGAAAACCTATATGTCAACAGATACATTCCAACGATCCCAATCTTTTTGATTTTTATCAATGAATTTCGCCAAATAACTTAAAATTATCTGATGTTGACGCTCCACTTGATTCGACTGGAGACAGAGCAGACGTTCTCGTTTTCTTAATTCCGAGCAATTGCGATAGCTTCCGAAAAATTCTAGATTCGAAATTTCTCTTTTGATCTGTGTGAACTTGTAATGGAATCCCATATCTTAAGATAATCTGATTTAAGAAGATCTCTGCAATAGTCTTTGCTCTGATATTCTTTAAAGGGAAGGAACCTCTACCCTCTATTTAGTGAAGCAATCTACAATAACTAATAAATATTTATTTCCTGAAAGGATTGTCGGGAGTGAACCAAGCACGTCCATTTGAACTTTCTCAAATGGAGCTCTAACATTGTAAATTTTAAGCGGAGATGTTCCTTTTCCCATCAGACCTTTTCGAGCAACAGATTTTGTACGTTCTACACCAAGCTTTCTCATCCTGTTTATAAGAAGCTCAGTAAAATCTTTTACGAATCTTCTCCAGAGTTTTATTAATCCCGAAATGTCGCGAAGAATCACGAATTTTTTCTAATATTTCCTGAACTCGCTTCTTAGGAACGACATTGAACAACGATGCTTTTTAGATTCGGAGCCTTCCACGTTTAGAGTACACCATCCTTGATCTTCAAGAAATCCCAATAGGACCAGTATATTTTTGCGGGCACTTCCTTCGATGCAATCTTTTGCCAAGATGGCCGGATCCCAACCTTTTTTGACCTTGAAGAATGATTGAAATGTCAGGATCTTCCAATTGTTCAGGTTTCCAAGTTCACCTCCGACTAGACTATCCATGCAACAGCATTTTCCGCTTTTGAAGCTTCCTTTACTTCTACTCTTGCACAATACTGAAAACCTTTACGGTAAATTATTTCGAAGTCATATTGCTGGAGCTTCTCTATCCAGCATATCAATTGGCTTTCCAAATCCTTGAAAGACATTAACCGCTGCAACATATGATTCGTTTGTATTAAAAATTTCTGACCGTACAAATAATGGAACAATTTAATCAATTCAACTAGTGACAAAAGTTCGCGTTGCGTGACACAATAATTCCTCTCGGCTTTATTTAAAACACGGCTAAAATAAGAAATAATTTTTTCTTTCCCATCTTTGCGACAAGACTGCGCCGATTCCATCTGCGCCGAATGCATCGATAACATTTGCTCAAACGCAAATAGAAATCGATAAGTCATGTATCCGCAAATA